CGCAGAGTGGCGCCGCAGAAGTCGCTATGCCGTTCACCAATCGAATAAATAATTAATAGACGAACTAAACGTGTGTTAATCTCATAAACGTGTAGATCTAATAAACGTGTTCACAGTTAATCAATGGAGACTTGTCAAAACATTCATTGACGACAAACTGCATCGTGTAAGCAGGCCACATATGTGGGGCGTGCGGAGGAAATGAATTATCGTTCTTACTTAATACTTCTCGCAATCCACACAAAAATGGAGATATTGGCCAAAATCGACACAATTGGGTCAAATTTTTAGATTTTCTATTGAAGCCATATCCTTTAACTATAACTATAACATGCCGTTTCTTATTTCCTACTTATAAATTGTAAAAAATAACCTTCCCTTTTAAGGTTGATGTATCTATTTCAGGATGGCTTATATCCGAGAAGTAACTAATTTTGTGCGCATGGTTCACATATATGCTTCATTCTGGGCTCTAACAGCTGTGCACTCTCCAGCAAATTCTGCATTGCGATAGAGAGCTGTTTGTGCCACTGTGCGGTAATGTTCCGTGCGAGTACAAGAGAAGCACATCTGGGGGAAAAATGGTGAAATGGTATGGGTTTGACGCATGCCCCGATCAACACTATTAGGTTATTACACTTCAGGCGGGGCCTCCTAGTTTAACGTCCGTCTCCGAAAGGACCGAGCCAAGTGGGAAATTCGTGTAAAGTGTCTTTCCCAAGGACACAATGTCGGACCGAGCTGAGGCTCGAACCCCCGAACCCGTAAAGGCACATTTGTGCCCTGCTCATTCTCCAATAATAATAATTTAAAAAATAGAAAGAATACCATTAAAAAAAGGAAAAAAAAAAAAAGTATGGCCCGATTTCAGACTACGCCTCAAAGTGACTTTCCGTGGACGATCCTCGATCCGGTTCTGGGCTCTGGGCTCCTTAAACTTTGCTGTCGCTGTTTCGTTTAGCAAACAAAATTTTAAAAGCAATTAATAAGGTGAAAATGATCCTCATCTCATCTCATCTCCCATGATCAATGTTGAGAAAGGCAAACTCTTCTCTTGCCATCTGTTGAAAACGGGGACAGCGTAACGCCGTCGTTGGTCATAACGACACGGTGTCATAATCTCCTAGACCAATTTCACACTGTAAGGAAACAGGACACAAGGCCTTCTGTAGTCTTTGCATTCATCTCTAGAATCAGTTGCCCATTGTAAGGAAATAAGACATAAGTCCTTCCGTAGTCTTTGCATTCATCTCTAAGACCAATTTCACACAGTAAGGAAACAAGACAACTCCTCCATGAGTCTTAGCAATCATCTCTGGGACCAATTTCACACTGTAAGGAAGCAAGACCATGCAATGACGCAAACATGCTATCTGTGTGAGGGCAATCCAGTTTTTTGGGTTTAAAAAATTTGTTATAAAGTAAACTGCAACACTTTTTATGCGCCGTGCCTCATAAAATTATGAACGTCTGCATGATGAATCAGAGGCAAAATCCAAAGAACATCACGCTGAATTATCGCTACCCTATGCCTTAGTAGAGGTTTTACGGCGCTCGCAACTGCATAAGGTCATCTGTGCGCCATCGCTACCTTAAAATTACAAGTTTCTGTCTGACATTTTCGCCGGTTTTGAGTTATTAAGATCATGAGGTCAGATATTTGCTCTATCAAAACCGTAATACTATTCGAAGCTGTGATCAAGACATTCAAAGAATTGCATCCCCAAAAGCTTGACACGGAGTGAAACTCAAATTTCTTTGACGTCACATTTATCAAAACTAGATACTGAGAAGATACAATTTAGAAATTCTAAGGCAGTGCTATGTTGAGAAAATTTACATGACGTTCTGCCCGGGCAGCTTGCCTTTAGAACGTCAAACAAATCTTCCGAGGACGAGAACAAAACCGAAGCGAAATAATGATCAAATGATCAGCCACGGAATGATCAGCAACGGGGCCGGCTTTTGTGACACAATAGGACACACTGGCAACGCGAGAGAGGAACAAGACAATCGAAAGCAATTAGCCGATTGACCCCCATCGGCAGAGTTCAAGGGAGCGGGAGGTGTGGAGATTAAGTCGGATAACAGTCCACGTCACCGGCACACTAACCCTTCTCCACCCCCCCCCCCCCCCCCCCCCCCCCCCCCCCACTCCCTCAAATCTCCCTTTCCGCTTTCCACCTGGTGAAATGGTACAGGTTTCACGCCCCCAACAACACGGTTAGGTAACTTAAGAAGAGGCGGGACCTCCGAGCTGAACGTCCATCCCCGAAAGGACCGAGCCAAGTGGGACATTCGTGTAAACTGCCTTTCCCAAGGACACAATGTCGGACCGAGCTGACGCTCGAACGCCCGGACTCGCAATCTCACGATTACGAATCCCGTCGCCTACTCATTAGGCTACTGACGCCACTACTTTCCACCGGTCTCCTAAATCACAAGTGCTCTTAAGCGGTAAAAGTAGAAGTTTGACACCCCCAATAACACACAACTTAGACCCTCTAGTCTAGAAAGCGGACTGCTTCAGCCGTGCCTGTACGCCGGAGCCAGCCTGGGAAGACAAGGATACAACGACCCAGCAGGCAGACGGAGATACTCGATAAAATCCCCCCCCCCAATACCCCCACAAGGGTATAGAAAAGAAAACACGTCTTCCGAGCGGACTGGTGAAACGCCTTCCTGCCACACCACAAGACTCTGGCCTTCTCATGACGAAAGTCTCAGCATCTTCATACTGCTTTCGTTGTCAACTGAGTTCCATATTAGGAGGATTCTGAATTCCATATTTGGAGGCTCCAAAATCTGCAGGCCAGGCCAACGCGACCCCACAAACACATCCACCCTGCTCGAATGATGTGACAAGTGAGTACCTGTGAACTATGGTAGTTGTTTAATAATTGTTTGTAGCATAAGAACGATCGAAAAAGGTTCCCCGAGACCAGAATGGATTCAACTGATCGAAGCAACGCCAATGCGATCGCTCACATGGATTGTCTGCCCTGGCCATGCAGGCGTTAAGGGAAATGAAAAAGCCGACAGACTGGCTGGTGAGGTCATCTCAGTTGACAGCACGGTTCAACCAGACAAGGTCGAGATCCTGAAATGTATCTCTCGCCACCCGATTGAAGAGGAAGATAAGGAGGATCTATTGTTTTGCTCCTAAAGTAGAAATATTTTTTGTTTCCCTTGATTCTCTGACACAGCCGACGCCATAACACTGTTCATGTATCCCTCGAACTACCGAGGCCGGTCTCGACGAGCTATCCGTGTTATACTTTATCTATATCATCTATCTCCTGAGTTCTGGCGCCCTGCTGCCAGCCCTGGCCTGCCTCCTCCTGTTCTCGGCCGTCTATCTACCTATCCATCCATCCATCCATCCATCCATCTATCTATCTATCTATCTACCTATCTATCTCTCCATCAATCTATCTATCTCTGATTCCACCCATATGTCCATCCATCCATCTCCAGAGTCCCCGCGTCCTGCTGCCAGCCCTGGCCAGCCTCCTCCTGCTCTCAGCGACCTCCGTGTGCGCAGACTTCTGCGACGACAAGCCCGACGGCCTCTATCCCTACCCTGGCGACTGCAGCAAGTACTACTCGTGCTCGCACCAAGTCACGCACACCATGAACTGCCCGGCCGGCCTGCGCTGGGAAGCCGAGGGGAAGTACTGCGACTGGGCCGCGAACGTGCAGTGTGACGACGGCGGGCAGC